AAAAACGCGTTTTTTTTTTTGTTTTTTTTTTCTGTACATTATTTGCTTTGCGCCGTTGATAGAAGCACAGTTGGGCGGCGTCACAAAGTCACTCGCTAGCGTTTTTCAAATTCGTTCATCGGCACTCATGGTCTACCCGGGAGGAGAAAAGTACGAGCTCAGAGCCGAGCCGCCGAGCGTCGATTGCGACTTTCCTAAACGAGTCGCCGAAGGTAACACTTCGGCGACTCGTCAGCTTCAAACAACGCCTCTTCGAACCAGCTTCGAACGAGCCTGACGCGCCCGCGAATCCAATGCGCCGAACGGTCGCGGCAGAAAGCACGCCGGAAGGAAGGGGGCTGGACGCTGAGTATCCGAAAGAGACGCGGCGCTGGTTTCTACGTCTATTTCGCACATGAGATAACAAACTGGCAAAGCTAGCCGAGTGTGAACAGTGACTGACGTTACATTGGAGCACACGCAGTCGAAATGACGCCTGCAACAGAGCACAGCTAGAGGTTTTCAACAGCGGACACATCCGTTCAAAAAGGCCGCGATTTAAAAACTTCGTCTCCTTTCTGTCCTTTGGTGTTTACTTTGATCCGCGTACACCAAAGCACTCAATGCTGCAAGTAATAAAGTCGTGTATACGTACCTTTCGAAGCAATTGAAAGTGTGTAGGTTTCGCTCGATGCCCACGAGCACAGAGTGCGACGAACGCCAATCCCGCCGGCAGCGCGACCGGCGCGACGGCGCCGGCTGGCCGGGTCGCCGGGTCAGCCGGGTCGCGCAACCGACGCCCGCCCGCTGCGCACTGCGCATGCTCGGCTTCTCGGCTCTCTCAGCGTCTCAGCCTCTCAGCTCTCTCGGCCGTTCTGCTGGCTCGGCAGCACGCCGACTCGCGGGCATCGCGGGCTCGCCGGGCTCGCTCCCTTCGAAGTTCGAACAGTTCGAACAGTTCGAAGTTCAAACTGCTTCCAAAGCGCGAGCTTGCGCGCGCGCGCGCGGGTTGGCGATGGAAACTATTTTTTCGAAAAATGAGGCTGTAACGTATCGTTTGATGGCGCAAATGCACGTATTTTTCACGTCGTTTTTTGTACAGTGTGTGAATCTCGCGAAACAGGCGACGAAAAGTGGTGGGTGAAATGTGCTTGCATGTCGTCGTGGATGTTGTGTACCACGTAGGATTACCCAGAAAGGTGGGTCAATATCGATAAATGTGCGCGTAAGAAGCAACTACATGCACGTGACCTGTCAAACCTATTCACCCTCATTATTTTATCGTGCGAACCGACATTGCCACGTATCGTGTTCGATTTCAGTTCCAACACCGGTAACTTCGAACACATCGTGTTTGATGTTGTGTTTCTCGCCGTCGGTAACTTCGTATTGATATCGTATTCGGTCTGGTGGTTGTGTCTCAACACCGATGGTTTCTTGTTGTATTGCGATGTTGTGTTGCAACATCGAATTGTATCCCGGTACGTTGGGTTTATCGTTTGGCGATCAACTTTTGTTGTATTACAACTGCAATAAACATTTGTTGGAAAACAATCACTCCAATGAGCACGTCGTTATTGGGCTTTGTCATTAAAAGGTACGTCGCGGCGGGTGTCCCGGCTATAGTTATTCTGAATGGTTTGGTGGTTGTCTAGTTTCAAACGCGCGAGGCTGTGTGTACTGTGTGCCGTACTAACAGCTGTACATACTTGCGCTGTCGATCAATGTTAATGTGTTCGCAACGCAGAACGTTTATACTATGTGTGTATCGACACCCAATATATTTCTCGCGTATTTCCGTGTGGATATGCCAACGTAATTCATGTTGGTAACTTGGTGTCCGCGTTCTGAGATTTATGCGCGCGATATCATATTGTATTCTCCTTTGGTCCCATGATCGACGACCGATATTTGTATATCGTGTGGCCGTACAGTATGTCCATGTCGGTCACCAATATGCACGCGATGTCGTATTCTATTCCAATAACCGTGTATTACATCGGGGTATTGTGCTCCGATATCGTGTTGTATACCAATAACCGCAAGTTATATCGGGATATTGTGCTCCATCCGCGTTCTGAGATTTATGCGCGCGATATCATATTGTATTCTCCTTTGGTCCCATGATCGACGACCGATATTTGTATATCGTGTGGCCGTACAGTATGTCCATGTCGGTCACCAATATGCACGCGATGTCGTATTCTATTCCCATAACCGTGTATTACATCGGGGTATTGTGCTCCGATATCGTGTTGTATACCAATAACCGCAAGTTATATCGGGATATTGTGCTCCAATATCCTGTTGTATACCAATAACCGCATACTATATCGGGATATTGTGCTCCGATATGAATTCCCATCGTGCTTATTGGGTTAATCGGATAACAATACGTTTTTATTGGTTTCCATCATCTTCATTGGAATACAATATTTCCAATAAGCCGACTTCATATTGGCCTTTTTCAATAGGGATGATCGACCTGCCAGCATCGAACGGTGCGCTGAACAGCAAAAAGCGCTTCTCGCAACGGGGGCAAGTAAATTCCTGACAGGCTGGGGAAAAGGGTTAATCCCTTAAAACAGCGGTCAAAATCCGCGCCTCTATAGTCAGACAGGCGATAATGTCTGGGCCTCCGTGCGGCGCTCCCGCAACGAAACTTCGTGCGGCGCTCCCTAAACAAAGGTGACCCCAAAAAGAGCGCGAAACAGTGCCCCAATTCAACCGGAAACAGGTTGGGAATCGAAATGCCTGCCTGATCGAAAATCAGGTCCCACGTTGCGGCGCCAGTTTATGCGGGTTTGTTCTAGCTCCGATTCCCTCAGACCCTGTTCCCGGATGAATAGGACACTGCAATACTTCGTCCTCGGCAAAAGGGTTTACTCACTCACTCATTGCCTTGGGGGGGTTTCGGGATCGGGGGACGGCCACCAGCGAGGCCGGGGGAGAGTCCGCTGCCACAGCAGCTTCTCCGATTCCCAGCGGTGGTCGTCCACACCGCGTCATGGGGACGTCGTCGTCCAGGGTCGCTGTCCGGTCGGTTTGTCGAGTCCGCCACTCGACGTAGTGCCCGCATTTTCCCCGCGCCTGCGTCCGTCTCCCGCCAAATCCCGCGCCAGCGTCCTCGTCTCCTTGTCACAGCTGCACCATCCTTCGTGTCCCGCCGTTCGAGAGCGCTGCCGTCCAAGAGAGGGGGCCTTCTTTTGTCCGGCTTCCCCTTTTCAAGCCTTGGGTCCTTCCCGTGGCGTCAGACGGCTTAGAGGAGTGGTCCAGCCGGACCTTGTGCTGCGCGAGGCCATGGCCGGTCCCCCCGAGACATGACGCATGTTGGAGGCATCGAGTGCGAGCTGCCGGAAATTGGGGTCCGGAGGTTCGGCGCGGGGGAGGGCAGCCAGATCTCCACACACTTCAAGGGTTGAAATCAAATGTAGGGACAAATAGGTGAAAGAACATCTGTTATTTTGCAGTGCATTATCTTCATTATACAATCATATGCTTAGTGAGTTCTGCTAAAAAACAAGGCATGATCAGTAATTGTTACAATGGACTCAGGTACCGCATTCCAATACCGTATACACAAAAAAAGGCGAGAGTTTTTTTGTTTTTTTTTTAATGTTGGTTCTGGCAAAGGGCATTTTTATCTTCTCGCAATGATCACGGCGTAGGGAGACATGACTGACTGAAGAGAATTCATGGTCAGTCCAGTACTTTTAGGCGGGTTATGAAAAAAGGATAATCTATCTACGGTGCGTCTAGTGTTAAGAAGAGGTACTGATGAAGAAGTCTTAAGGGCAGAGATGCTCGCGGGTGAGTAGTCAGCAAGAATGAATCTAGTTGCGCGGTTTTGGATTGATTTGAACATGTCGGATAGGTAAGCCTGATGGGGGTTCCAAATGGTAGAAGCGTATTCTATCTTGAATCTAACATGTATGCAGAATGACAGCTGTTTGATTTTCAGTGAAGCTTGACTAAGTTGGCGTCTTAGAAAACCTAAAGTTTTATTATCACTGGAAGGTATGTGTTCAATATCAATTCTCCATCAGAGGTCAGAGCTTAAGCGCACGCCAAGGTATTTAAAAGGTGAAACCTTTTCAATGGGCTGGAATGTAAGTTGATAGGTGTAATTTACTGGATTACGGGATTTAGAGAAAAATATACATATTCACATTTATTATGGTTAATGGACATAAGCCACTCGGCACCCAAGGTTTCAACTAGGGATAGGTCTTCTTGTAGTGTTAGGCAATCATCTTCACTGGAAATAGTGCGATAAACAAGAAAATCGTCAGCAAACAGACGAACACAGCTGCTCAGGCGATAACCGATATCATTTATATAAATACGGAAGAGCAATGGGCCCAGTGCAGTACCCTGTGGTACGCCTGAAATAACTGGTAAGGATTGTGAAGATGTTTCACCTAGACGTACGGATTGGGTTCTAGTCGTAAGAAAAGTTTTTATCTAATTAACTACAGTTGCATTCATTTTTAAGTTTTGTAATTTTACGATAAGTCTGTAGTGTGGCACACGGTCGAAAGCTTTCGAAAAGTCTATAAAGAGAGCATCTGTTTGTTTTCGTGAGTTAGGATATATCTTCAATATACAATTTTGCTGAATGTTCTGCTCGTATGGCACAAGTTACTGTAACATGTTCATATTTAAAACAAAAAAAAAACAAAAAAAAAACGTAACAAGTAATTAGAGTAATCCGTTACCAATATTTTGTAACAAAATTACATTACAACTTACTTCCGAAAAAAAGTAACGTGGCAATTTATATTTAAAAAATTACAAGTAATTCGTTACCTGTAATGGTCGATTCACACGACGGACTGATCCGCGGACGGATTGGTCACGTGATGACAAATCCGTGGAGCCTCGAGCTCCCGAGAGCATCCACACGACGGATGAGACGAGCAGACGACAACCAGGAGAACTCTCGACCCCACAGGGCCGCCAGGCCCGCGAAACGCCAAAAGCGCACTGTTGTCCAGAGTAATCGTCAAAATGGAGGTGGATCGAAAGCGTCGTTTGGCCGCGATGGCCGCAGCGTTATCTTGCGATGAAGATGAGTCGTGTGCGTCCAAGAGATCGCTTTGGATGAAAGACTGGATGTGCCGAAAGGAACGCGGTATGCCAAACGAACTTTACGAGGAGCTCCTCGACAACGATCCCGAGGAGTACAGCAGGCTGCTGCGCGTCAGCCGCGAGCAATTCCTGCAGCTGCTGTCTCGCGTGGGACCCAGAATAGCGCGGCAGGACACTGTGATGCGGCGAGCAATTCCACCAGAGACACGGCTACAAGCCACTCTTCGTTTTCTTGCAACAGGTAAGTAACTTCACTCCAGCCTTCCTTCGTTGTACAGCGCGTAATAAATTTCTGGAGGCTACGACCTCGGATCTGTTATCACCCCCAGATGTTTGTCTCTCTTGTCGGCGGGTTCCCGCCTAAGCCACCCCGGACCTCTCGCCTGCAAGAATGTAAGAGCTAGCTGTGCAGATAGCTGGACGGGGCAGTGTTCGTCCAATGTTGTCACGGGCTCGGGATGCGTTCGAGGTAGCGGTGGCCGGTCTATCCACCTGGTAAAGAAGGGCCCAAATTGGTGTTTAATAAGAATATATATATATATATATATATATATATATATATATATATATATTCTTATTAAACACCAATTTGGGCCCTTCTTTACCAGGGTATATATATATATATATATATATATATATATATATATATATATATATATATATATATATACAGTGTAATCCACTTATAACGATACCAGATATAACGATATATCGCTTATAGCGATCAAATTTTTTAGATTTGTCAATTCTCCCATCGCCCCTATGTAAAAATAAACCATATATAACGATAGAATTATCGGCGACATATCGGATACAACGATAGAATTCTGGCCGCCCGGAAGGTGCTTATCACGAAAAATTTGCCTGGAAATTTGAGAAAAATTAAAATACTTGAAGCGAACGACATGAAAACTAGTAAAAATATCAAAAACCGGTCGGCGTGGAAAGATCCGCTAGGTGACGCGAGGCGCCGCCCGATTTAAAAAGTTCAGCCTCATCCTTCGGAACTAAGTGCTATCGTCATCGCAATCGCTGAAGGGAGGAGAGAAAGAGCTTGCTTGGCCGCCGCCGCGCAACGCTTCCTAGTTTTCCCCCGTTTCCGCACGTTCGTACGTTCGTGAGGTAAAAATGGCGCCGACTAAGCGCAAAGCGATATCTCTGGAGGTGAAGCAGCGAATTCACCGGGATTTCCGACAAGGATTCAAGGTTGGTAGCCTCGCAAAAAGATACGAGCTGTCTCAATCAACGATTTCTACAATCATCAAGGCTGGAGATGTCTTGAAGAAGGCTGGCACCAGCGGTCACGACGACCAGCGAAAGCGGGTTAGGGATCCTTTGTACGGCGACGTTGAAGACTCCCTGTACCAGTGGTTCTTGACCACTCGCAACCGGAACGTGCCCATAAGTGGACCTATTCTTGCCGCAAAGGCGAAGAAATTTGCTTCCCTTCTGGGACGGGAAAACTTCGAACCCGGCGGAGGATGGATTCAGCGGTTCAAGGATCGCCACGGCATCGTTTATAAAAACGTCGTCGGGGAGGCTGCCTCGCTGGACGTAAATGCGAAAGACGAATGGCTGGCGACGAAATTACCCGAGCTGTTGGAGCGCTTCCAAGAAAGTGACATTTTCAACGGCGATGAAACAGCACTCTTTTATGAGATGCTGCCTACAAAGACGCACGCGCTGAAAGGTGACCCGTGCGTTGGTGGCAAACATAGCAAGGTCCGGGTGACGGTGTTTGTGTGCGCAAACATGGACGGTACCGAGCGTCTCAAGCCCTTTGTGATCGGGAAATCGAAAAGGCCTCACTGCTTTAGGAATCAATGCATTCCAGTCCGCCATCGAAATAACAAGAAAGCGTGGATGACGCGAGATCTCTTTGAGGAATGCCTCCTCGAGTTTGACGGCGCTATGGAGAAGCAGAAGAGGAAAGTGGTGCTGCTCCTCGACAACTGCTGCGCACACAACGTCAGCCCGAAGCTAACGTCCGTTGAGGTAATGTTTCTGCCTCCGAACACCACGGCAGGTCTGCAGCCCATGGATGCCGGCGTAATCGCCAATTTCAAGGCCCTCTACAGACGTCGCATGCTGGAATGGCTCATCATGAAACTAGACTGCTCAGGATTGTCTCAATACGCCGGCGGACCTCCTGACCTGAAGGTGAGCTTGTTAGAAGCGGTGCGGTTCGTGCATGGTGCGTGGTATGAGGTGAAGCAGGTTACACTCAAGAACTGTTTTAAAAAGGCAGGCTTCGTGCGCCACAACGCCACGGTCTCGGAAGAGACAAATGACTTGCTCATCGAACCTGCCGATGTGGGTGAACTTTGGGACCACATAGCAGCTTCCGAGGAGAACATCGGCGGAGCTCTCTTGGGAGACTTTTTGAACGCGGACAACGCTGCCGCTTCATGCGAGGAGTCTACTGATGAGGCCATTGCCGAGGAACAGCAATCGCGACGAAAAATCACATCGAGCGACTGCGAAAGTAGTGACGACGACGGCGGCGACGAGAACACCCCGCCTCCAATGTCTTCACAAAATGCCCTGCTCTCCATCCAGTCGCTGGTCGGTTTTGTGCACGCAAAAGGACTGCCGCCAGCGTACGCGCAACAACTGGAAGCAATGCACACGGCAATTGTCAAACTTCAGCTCAAGCAAGCGCAAATTTCCGACTTTTTTAAGCATGCTTAAATTATTTTATAGTCATTTTCGTACCTTTTAATAAAGCCTTCGGTTTTCTTTGCCTCGGCTCGCGTTGTAGGACCTGATTCACTCATCGCCCGTAAGTAACTTCTCTTTGTGTTTTTTTTTTGTCGGTCCAGATATAACGATAATCGGCTATAACGATTGGATTTTGCGGTTTTCTCAATATCGTTATAAGTGGACTGCACTGTATATATATATATATATATATATATATATATATATATATATATATATATATATATATATATATATATATATATATATATATATATATATATATATCGACGTTTCGGACTCCGGCCGAAACGTCGAAGATTAAATCGTCCGTTGTTGCTGTTTTCACGAAGGGTTTTTTTTTCTCAGTTTTACACCCACGCCTTCGGCCTCCCGCCACCATGCCCGTTGTTATATATATATATATATATATATATATATATATTCTTATTAAACACCAATTTGGGCCCTTTTTTACCAGGTGGATATATATATATATATATATATATATATATATATATACCAGGGTTGGGCAGTATCGCGATACAAACGTATCGCGATAGTATTTCAGAGATACATTTCGTATCTGTATTTCTGTATCGCGATACATTTTTTTCACCAGTATCTGTATTCTTGTATCGAAATACAATTTGAATGTTCCTTTGTATCGCGATACAATCAGGATGAAATGTATTTAGTTACATTTCTTGAGAAATACTCTTCCCCCCCCCCCCTCCAAAAAAAAAAAATCTGCACGCTTTTTTTTTTTTTTTTTACTTCTACGGGCACCAGACTCAAGGAGATGCTGGGGTATATTGTTACTATGCTGACCAAGGTTCCTTTTGATTCTGCAAACTATTTTTCTATCCGTCCTCTTCTCTCTTCTGAGAAGTGTTGCCTAGTCGGGGATTCGAGCCAGGTGGCGTGCCAGGAGTGGAGTCAGAGCATCTTCTGCCGCAGGTCCTTAGGTAGGGATTTCTTGAGTCATTGTTTCCTGGCATCCAATGCCCGCTGCTAACCGTCTCTCTCGCCTTAGCGTACAGAGTACACCCAGCCGGCAAAGCTGAGTCACATTCCGTTGCAGCACGAGCCAGGCGGTGGTTGACTTGAATTAGTAGGAAGACTCACGCTGTGAAGCTCAACACACATTCGAATGCATCTGCGGCTGCGCCCGTAACATTGCACGGCTCAAGGGTATGTCATCAGCCGACGTGAACGTGACCCGCTGCTCTGGTGATCCGAAACCCAGAAGGAGGCCAGAAGTGGCCTCGCTGTGCCATCCCAGATTATGTACTCCCGCGACTAGTCTCGAGACCGCTGTTTCTTGGACAGCTCGCACCTGTGCCGGCAATATCAGCTCGCAATCCACGAGGTCTCTGTTTGGATAATGCTAGGCAAAACTTGAGGACTGCAATCCATGCGTCGGTGGCGGAGGGTCGGTAGTAAGGACCTTCAGAACAGGGATGCTACCGTATACATAGTTTTTTCAACTGTAAAACAGAAGATAAGACATGTATTCTAAGATGCTTCAGGTGTTCCACTATTCTCGAAAATCTCGAATGACACTGCATGCACGATCTTCAGCTAGGTAGCCTACAACAAAAGTATGCATTGTCCTTTCATACAGCAGCGTGGTAAAGTTTCATGTTCAAGGCCACACCTACAGATAAAGAATTCTAGTTCATTCCACCGTGACATAATGTGATCGATGTTGACAGGATTCCCTCGTCAGACAGACAGGATGTTATGGAAGGGACCGCGGTCAGCAATTGTTGGAACGTTTTTTTGGGCCCATTGAAGACTCCTTGTCGCCCGAAACCACTACCTTCAAGGCAAAGTGCCAAGCCTAGAGGAAAGTAATTTCGGGACCGAAAACATCCACTTCAAACTCCACGCTTCAACTCAGTTGGCGTCTCAAAAAATTTGGAAAATGTATTGCAGTATCAGTATTTCTGTATTTGTATTCCTGCCCTCCCTAAAATGTATTCCTGCATTTCTATTTCCAAATACTTTTTGCCTTTTTTTAAAATGTATTTCCGATACGTATCGCGATACATTTTTACAGGTGTATCAGTAGTTTAGCTACAATTTCAATGTATCCCAGTATTTCTATTTCCAAATACATTTTTTGAGTATTTCTGCCCAACCCTGATACATACATACATACATATACATCAGCATGATCATCAAATATTCCACAATATCCCTGCCCCAGAACCCAGTATAACTTTTCGCTATCTGGGTTATGGAACAAGATATCTTATTGGCTTATATCTGGATATTGTCACGGGTGGTAACCAAAAGAACAATAACTAAACAGAAAGAAGTAAACGTTTAATGTGGCGAACTTGTGCCAAAACTAAAAGGGTACAAAGAGAATAACAGAGCGTCGCGGGCGTCGAAGTCGGCGTAGCAGCACAGTCGAACACTGGGGCGAAACTGAACTCGCTCGCCTGGCGGAATCCCTTATGTACCCTCGTGAGTTTCCGGGTCGTTCGGCGTAGAAGGTTCGGTGTGTAGAACATTCTAACCTCGAATCAG